TCCATTGATTTGTTTGTTCCGAAATCAATAAAAACTGGGAAGAGTCACTAATCACCTTGGCTCAAAAGTGAACTTCTCCGGTTCAAAATGTCTTTATTCTCTGATTATGCGGGATAATGTGCACCCAACAGTACATCTCTCTCAGAGAATAGCTAGTAAAGAAGCAGACTTCAGTTCTGCTTTCTCTGATGCCAAGTCACACTATGAGCAGGAGCTGGTTCATATCTTTCTTTATCCCTCGTAAAATTTACCAGTATATTCGTATTATCTTCAAGACAGACAATATACCAGAATCTCTTCACCTTGGTGATAGATATGCATCTAGTGACTCTGAAAAAGTCTCCCTCTTCAACAATTACTTGTATTCAGATTTTACTAGCAATCCCTCCTGTATTGCCTCATCTGCAAACTGGCCCTCTCATGGTCAACAACTTCATTCCATTGCTTGCACTGAAGAGGTAGTCTATGGCATCTTATCTTGACATCAAAAAGGCTTTTGGCATACATAGTATCAATTCTACTTCATTGAAACACTGCCCTGGCTCTCACTCCTCTCATCATTCGCCATTTTAACTTGTCATTGTCTTCCTCAGCTTTGCCACTGGAGTGGTATACTCATCTTGTTAAGCCAGTTTTTAAGTTTTGTGATCGCACTGATGTTTGTGATTATCGCCCCATTGCTTTATTACCAGTTATCTCCAAAGTACTTAAGAAAAGTGAGTAATGCACCACAATCATATAGTATTTCAAGATTATGTACTGAGGACCCTGTTTCAGTATTGTGACAATTTTTATACAAATTTAAGGACTTCTTTAACATAGTCATTCTCCAGAGCGGTGTTCTAGACAAAGTAGAGCAATATTATGTTAAAAAAGAATATCAAATGCATGGAGTGCCTCATTATCACATGAGGCCTCCTATGGACTGAAAATGCTCTTGTTGTCGGTATCGATCATCCAGAAGAAGTCTGTTATTTCATATAAGATAAAATTACTTGTCTTATACCCGATTGTAATACGTTGCCTGATTTAAATTTTTTGGTAACAAAATACCGAATGCACAAGTGCAGCAAATACTGCAAACAAAATATTATAGTCGGCAAGACTTATGTATTGAGATGCCGCTTTGATTTTCCTAGACCAATACAAGATAGTATTTGCATCAATGTTGTTGAAAATAGCTTGAAATCATGCAGCAAACATATTATCTCAAATAAAATGAAAAAGAAGTTTGAGTCAATGACTACAGTCCTTTACTGTTAATTTGTGGCGGGCAAATATGGACTTGCAATGCATAGCAGAAAGGAGTCTTTCCTTAACAGAGTATGAAACTGGACATGTCACTAAAGCAGAAAAGTCATGAACTGGACTTATGGGATGAAGTCAGCAGCTGCAATGACATAAAAGCAGGCATTGGAAAATCGGCCAAAAATTACATTGAGCTAAAGAAGTAGGACTATATAAAGGTAGCCTTCTTCTGAGTGAAAGTTTATAATGAAATCAGTAATTGTACAGTACATTAATGTGTACAGGCCTCATAAGAGGAGCAAAAAATTCAAAATGGATCAATCTTCAAAAGACAAGATTAATCTTAGCATAATTGAAGACTTTTATCCAACGAGACCGCATAACAGGAAGATGTATCTTGCTACGAATTTATTGCTAATTACAAATTTGATTAAATAGGAGAAAATGGAGAAAGAGAACACAAACTTTGATCAAAGCCAGCCTTCAAAACCATAGGATATTTAATCCTAAGCAAGAAGCAAAAAGAGATGTTTTTTATTACTAACTAATGTTTTTATTTGTGCCTTTTAGAGACGAGAGCACACTCGTAATTAAAGGAGAAACAATGGATGAAGCTTTTAGGCATCACAGAGAAGTATCTATATGTGGCATTAAAAATCATTTCAACAAACTACGGAATTATTAGAAGCTGAACGTAATTTGGAAGAAAATAGTTGATGCAAGAAATAAAGCCGGTTATACTGAAGAACTTCCTGATAACAAAGATGATGAGCCTCAATTACTGGGTAAAATAATGAAAGCAGTAGCTGATATTGCTGACATGCATATAAATGTACCTAATTTAACATTAGAACAAAGAGAGATAATGCTTAATGTAGATCAAAAAAGAATTTTTGATAAAATTAAGACTCATCTTATAAGTCAAAAAGAACATAAAGACTTATTAGGGAACGAGTCTTCAAGACTACTGAGATATGATAAAATCAAACCGCTAAGAATGTTTATTAGTGGTGTAGGTGGAACTGGTAAATCGTTTTTAATGGCATTAAAATGCCTAGCTGGTAACATATGGCATCCAAAAAGTGATGAAATATGTGTGCTCTAGTAGCACCAACAGCTATAGTGCCATTTAATGTAGGAGGACTGGCAATACCTACATTATTTCAGATACCAATAGAGCATGAGGGAAAGACAGCTGGATATTGGGTTTCGAATAAAGAAGCTCAGAAAAGGATAACAATGACACTTAAAAATTTTGAAATTATAATAGTAGACGTGGTATCTATGGTATCCAATCTAAATCAAGCATACTTACACATGTGCTTAGAAGATATATTTGGTATTGATGCAAAAATATTTTATTTGTAGCTGACCTCTTACAATTGCCACCAGTTAATGGTAGACCAGTATTTAACAAAATTAGCAACAAACTAGTAAAAATTAGACTTGGAGCACAGTTAACACATGGAAAGACACAGTAGAATATGATGAACTAACAATCAATGAGCGAAAAAAAGGAGACGAAACTTTAAGAAGCTTGATTCTGTTAGGCATGGCTGTCTGACAGATGAAACTATTGATAGGCTTAAGAGTTGCATATTTAAGGTTTTGATACAAGAAAAATAAAAGGAATTGGAAAGTGAAGGAACAAATCCTCCAATTAGCTCATTTTTTAAGGTAGATGCCTGCCAAAAAATCAATGAATTAATGTTAGAAAATCTAGAAACAGAAAATTGAATTAGCATGTGTTGATGTTGATGAAAGTGGCAGCACAGCAAAATCTGACAAAGAACAAGAAAAAAATAGAGAAACTAAAAAAAATAACCAAGCAAAACAGCTGGTTTAGAAACTGTATTGTTTTTAGCAGTAGGCTGTCAAGTAATGCTAAGACGTAAGTTTGATATGACTGTAGGACTAGTTAATGGTGCCATTGGTGAAGTAATGGGTATTTATGCTACACGCATATCAATCAAATTTGATCATATTGATTTACCTTTGAAATAGAAAGGGTTATATCTAAATTTATGCTATCTAAGAACTTGTATATACATTGAAAACAGTTTCGCCTTATACTTTCTTATGCTATTACTTTACAGAAATGTCAGGGCCTCTCATTAGATACAGCCATTATTGACTTATTGATTGATGTTTTTGGGGATGGTATGGCATATCATTTTGCATTGTTTTGTTTGCGTACATTACAAGGATTATATTTAATATCATTTGATCCTCTCTCTGTTAAAGTTAGTAGTCCGTGCATTAACGAAATTAACCGCTTCAGAAGTAAATTTCAGACTGACTTACCTCAAATCAAGAAAACGAAAGGAAAGAATAGAAAGATTCAAGTAACTGGTATAATTTATGATAGTGAACCTTGTAGTAAGAATGCCAAGGTGTCTGTAAGTCATGTACAAAGTAGTAGTAACAGTACCGTTAGTAGCAATAAACGTAAGAGTACTGATTTACAAAAGTCTAATTGCCCCAAAAAGAGTAAAATTTGTGACAATAATGCTTTAAATAAGCCTTGCCCCCATAAAAGAAAAGTTGATGTAGACTGCAGTACTGACAATACTGCTTTGGTATTGCCTTGTTCAAAAAAAGATGTATTAATTGTTTCAATTAATTTGGAAGACCAAAAATTCATTTAATGTGAAAGATGATGATAGTTGTAGTAGTCTCATTGTATCTATAAAACTCTCAAACATTAAGTGTAAATCAAAAAATAATAAAACCAAGTGTTGTAAAAAATGACCATTTGTAGTAGTAGTCTGATTGTATTTATAAAACTCTCAAGCATTAAATTAAAGACAAATAATCCAAAAAAAGATGATGTCATCTTTACTTATGAAGAGCCTCCCAACCCAGATATTGTGAGGAGACAATGGGATTCTGTTTATTACCCTGGTAATGAAGAATTTCAAAGAAAGTGGTGTGACATTTTAAATCTCAAATTTGTCACCGGTGCTAGAATTTTACCTGGTAGTCCAACAACACCATTGTCAAATGAAAGAGTTCCTAATAGTACTCTTGATGTCCCTGGTGATGGAAACTGTTTATTTCATTTATTTTCTGTTATTTTTATTAAGCAGGTCATGAAAGTATCCTGACTAAGGATAGCATTAGTAAGAAATATTATGTCAAAAATACATGCATGCACATACATGTATTATCTAATCAGAAACATTGTAGATGCTACTATTATTATTATTAGAAGTATGTCACATTCATACTTTTTACAGGTACTTACTAGGCACAAGGACTACAATGTGGTGTTAAAGAGTGAAGTCTGACTTGGAATGAGACTCAGAAGTATATTTGTTACAAACATAAGGTATATCATGCATATGCATGTACATGTTTATCACAGTGTATTGTACATGTAGAGGATTATTTGTGCATTTATTTTACTTGTAGCGTTTGATGATTATCATGCATGCAATTTATTCCTTTCATAGTTTGATTTATGGTGTGAATAATGGAGTTACAAGGACTATAAAAGCTGATGTGATTAGTAATGAAGTTTGCTCACCATTATAGTATTGTTACTATTAGCCTGTGAGTTTACATTCCTTGCTTTTGATATGTTTCTATTATTATGCTTTACAGGTAATTACAGCTGGAAATGATTTGCTGATTCAGCAAAACTTCGTTTCATTGCTAAATGTGCAATATAATTAAAGGCATTTCTGGATGTAGATTGTTGTAACTAAATTTATTTTTTTAATTAAATGTAACTTAATTTTTTGTTGCAGCTCCTTAATCAGTAGTTGTATCTCGCAGTAGGAGGTGCCAGTTTACATCTGTCTAGGTTTCGGTCTTAGAAATGGAATTTGTAGTAAGATGGAGAGTATTGTGAGACGTCTTACATAATATGTTATAAGTTATGATTCTAGCCTAGGTTACATATTGCACATTCTTTTGATGATTATATCATTAATAATGGCCATAGTCAGTACTTTCGTTACTCAATATAAATGAATGCTAGCCAATGCATCTTGTGCATGCACGTTCTCATTAACAATACAAAAATAATTGTTTGCAAATTGGAATGTATTCATGTGTTGTGTATTTCCACAATGCAGGTCTCGTAAAAGAAACTTAATTCAGGATGACGAGTTGGCAAATTGAACGGTGTATGTCTAAATTACTTGTACAGTGTACATGTATGTACATATACATGTATGATTCAATAAGACCTTAATTTGCATTGTGGAGCTATACATGTCATATGTGTATATTAATTGTTGCTAAAAGCATGTATGCTATTCTTAATTTGTTACTCAATATATAATTTCACATTTATAATTTACACAGGTACATATTTACGCAAGGGCTGCAATGTGGTGTTAAAGAATAAGGTCAGATTTGGAATTAATACATTTAAAAGGTGATTCCTCTTTGTGAGCAGATGTATTTTTTAGTGGTTTTTAATTTAAGTTTGTGACAAACACATGCAAATACATGTACATATTTAGTATAGCACATATAGCCTGTGTGTTTACATTGCTTGCTGTTGATGATGTTTCTTTCTTACTTTGCTTTAAGGTATTTACTGCTGTAAGTGACTTAATGATTCAACAATAAGATGTAATGTAATACTTTCATAGCTTGGTGAATTTCTAAGGCTATTGTCTAATTTCGTTTGTGGTAACTAAATTAATTTCAAATAATAATCATCGTAAAATTATGTTTCATTGTGGCTCCTTATCTGTGGTGCTTTCACACTGAATGACGCACCAGTTTCCAGCTGCACAGGTTTCATATTGTCATAGTCTTAGCAATTGAATACATTGTAAGATAGAATATTGTGAGATTCCTTAGTTTCTTATTATTGTGTTATAGAATATGATCCAAGGCTACAATTCTTCTGATTATTTAGCTCATTAATTATGGCCACAGTAAGTATTTTCTTTACTCGTTATTATAAGTTATGTAAATCGCATTGTAGGAAGATTGAAGCTCAAGTATTCGAATTGTTTTGCCTCGTTGAACACTATTTGAGGAGTTGTATCATAATTTCTACTTTGGTTTTGCGCTGAAAGATAATTGAATCTATATTGTGTTATATTTAAGGAAAAAGTTTATCTATTTACACTTAATTAATAAAATTTATAGCTTTTTGTATAAGTGGTCCTCCTTCCCCTGCGGCCTCTTGATGGTCTGGCTCTTGAAGATTGTTGTACTAAAGTAAAATGGAGAGAGAGGTGATTAAAGTGGTACTGCAGATTATTTCTAAATCTTACAATTTGACGATTTACTTGGCGCAGTTGCCAAGTGATATTGAGCCTCTGCTGCTGCAGAGCTGCCATTTCAGGGTATCACGCTACTACAGGTGGAGCTGAATGGAGGGCAAGGAGGTGGCAGGCCTCCAGGTAAAGGTAATGCTGGAGGTGGTGGGCCTCCAACTAAAAGTATTGCTGGAGGAGGTGGACCTCCAGCTATTAGTGGTATTGCTGGCAGTGGCAGGCCTCCTCCAGCTAATGGTAGTGCTGGTGGTGGTGGTTGGCCTCCTGGAGGTGGTGGTGGAGGTCCTTCATCTCCAGCTAGATCTACAGGTGGAGGAGAAGGAACTGCATTGTGCTCATCATAATCCATAAACTACCACCAAATAAGAAAATATTTTGATAGCTAATGTAAGTCTGTAACTAAGGTGCTTTTCACAAAATAGTTGCGAATGTTCAAAAAAAAGTTGTTGAGAGCTGTGCGTGGGAATTGGCAGATAAATGTAAACTCAAGCTCAATGAAGTTCAATTAGTTTCAGAACAGGAAATAGATTTTAGTAATGCATGGTCAATAATGTTTAATAATTATGAGCTAAGGTATGAATAATATCATAAGGATTGAAAAATTCAAAAAAATGATTGTATGAAAATTGTTCATTATAATGCAGTACTGAGGTCTTCATATGCATATTTCTTATTTCAAAATTCTTTTCTTCCAGTTATGAACTGAAACCTAAGGAAAAAATTACAATTATCAATACAAAGGATTATTATTTAATAAAATTTAATAGAAAGTATGACAAAAAGTAAATAAATAAATTTCTATTAAGTAAGAAAAGGTAGGGTTGTCAAATAATGAAAGAAACAAGGGCATTGAGTTTAATCATATAAATAATTATTAGTTCAATTATTAATAATAAACTGTAATCAATAAAAAATATTCATAAAAATAATACAGAAATTTCAACCCTACATTGCAGAAAATGATAATCTAATAAAATGTCGATAGAGTTTTAATTTAAAGAATAATCTGCCTCTGCATATATATATATATACTATATACCTCTTGATTGGTCTCTATACATTGCAATGATGTAATTTAATAATAAATATTGTGATAGATGTAACTTAGCCTTTCAGTAATTATTGATTGAATAAATTACTGTCATCACAATTAAAACATCTAAATTATAGAATAAATATTTTGCTATTGCATACTTTAATGTTTGTGATTCAGTATCATAATACAAAATTAAAAATTAATCTATGTACTGCTTATGATTGTCATTGGACTGGCCATGCTAGTGTAGTATGGAACTAAGCACTTGGGTTGTCATTCTTTCGTTAAAATTTGCCATGTTAAAGCAATCAATACTTCTTCATAAAATTCTGCAAAGTAGGGTTGAAATTTTTGTATTATTTTTATGAATCATAATGTTTTTATTCATTACAGTTAATTATTAATAATTGAACTAACAATTATTGCTATGATTGAACTTAACCCCCCTTGTTTCCTTCATTTTTTGACAACAGTACATTTTCTTATTTAATACAGTTTTTTATTTATTAAAGTCATAATAAATTAATGGTTGTGGCTAAGCTCATGCAATTTAGTGTATTCATAGTAGCACTTACAGCCCATATGGTAATATTGTAATACCACACAGTAATATTGTAATACCACATGGTTGTTAAAGCTAGGAAAGATATTACCAAGCATGTGACTTTTAACCTCATGGCAATAGTTAGACTCCAAATCCGTTTCTTAGCAAAAAAATCAATACTAATGACATTTTTCCAAAGAATAAGGTCCAACCTTTACCTATACTAAAATTTGTAGTTGTCCTATAAAGATTCAGTTTAAAAATAATTTTTAAAATTAAACTACCTCTTTATAGATAATTTAATAATGACAGAGATAATTTCTTGTGTGCGGTAGCAAGTGTAACAAAAATATGGTATACAGGTCTTCATGCAATGAGCAAATCAAACCATTTATACAGAGACACCTTAGACAAACAGAAGCTCCAACTGATATTAGCATTTCTTGTAAGGAAGTACTAGAAGCAGAGCATCACTTAGACAGCAGCGAGTATATTCCAAAGTGGTAGAGGACTAACACCAGTGAGTTGAGACTTCATTGTATGTATCCAGGCTGTACCACAAATAAACAAAAGGTATTTAAAGCTCTTTTTGCACCTCTTAAGAGATAAAAAGAGTGTCTGATGTTAATACAGAGAGTCATACAGTTCTGTTATGTAGTCTACACTACAGTCACATTTACAAAAATTTTAAGCCCCAAAAATGTGCCTTTTGTAATGCAATGCTACTCCAAAAGTAGGCACTGTTTTTACTCATCATAGCCCTGATGCTCAATTTGTTGCTCATGACTTTAATAAAATTGACAACAATTTTTATTTAAGTTTGAACCGAACAGATCATTTATGCATAAATTGCTATAAGCTACACTTAGCAATAGTTACTGCTGAAGCTGATTAATCTTCTCTTGCTGATAATACTGATACATGGGCACTTGCACAGGCAGAGCATAGTGATGACAAACTCACCTGCTCAGTTCTTGATGCTGTCTTGTTTGTGGGAAAAAATTATCCAGAGGATAAGGCTTTACTTTTATCAATTGTTTCTTCAGTATTCAGTGAATACTACACAGGAGAAAAAGTTACGAACACACCTGAGTCTTATGTAATAGAAATGGAAAAGTGTCATTAAGTTTAGTAACAGGTGGTTATTGAACCTTGCCATTTAAGCAAGTATATGTTGTGTAAGTGTGTACATTGGAAGTATGATACAAAATTGTATAAAAGAGTTCGAGATAATTATTATGGTTAGCCTCTCATGGGCTTTAGGAGTAGCCAAGCAACAAAATAGTGTAATTGTTAATTATTCATCAACAAATATATGAATAGTACAGTGAAAGAGAGTGGCCATTTATTTAATAATCTTATAAAAAGGAAATAAACAGACTATCAGAGATCACCTTTGACGATACCTTGGTACTATTGTCAATTGATGAGCACACTGAAGCACTGAATCCCAAGCTATTACAGTTTATAAAATTAGCCACATACTGCAATCAAGAAACAAATGAAACAAAACTGACTAGGAAATTAAAAAAGATTTGTCAGATTTATTTTGTGCTAATAGTAATACGTCAAACCCAAGACAGGCAACACCAATACATCATCTCATAGCAAATGCTGTGGAAATAAAATGGTGAGTCAAGACAGCTCTTAAGAATACTAAATCGACTGGATTGCGTCATATCTGCAGACACAAAAGATAGGTTTCTCACACATCATGCGCTATAACAGAGAGAAACTGATGTATGGGAAGTATTGTCACCAGATGTATTTACTTTTGCCTCTGTTGACAACTTTGACATGCTACAGTCTCATGCTGCTGTATACAGTGGACAGCAGCATCGCAGTTATCATGGTACCACTGTCCAGCTAGTGCAACCCAAACCCAATTATTGCTTTACAACTCAACCTGTTTTGCCTATATCTTCATTCAATGTAGATACAGTACAAACTGTATCCAGATCCCAAGTTCCCTGTAGAAAACAGAAAATCACCATCTAGCTTCCCTCACAAACTGGGCAAGGAGGATCCAAAATGACACTAAACTCCTGCTGTGAGGCAATTGAACACCAGTTTGGCATCAAGTATAGAACAAATACATGTATCAATTCAGCATCACTATGCACACATCAGGCAATTATTTTTCAGAAACAGTCTATATTTTTTGAAAGAGACAAATTTTTTTAAAGAAGTTTTTTCCTGCCTGTTAATTAAAACAGCATCAGCAGAAAATGATATCGTGATTGGAGACAATCATTACTTTAAAGCACGTTATACAGCTTAGAGTAATGACCCATCAAAAATACATTACATGGAGCTCATTAATTAGAATGCTGATAGTGATGACACAACATTATGTTACAGAAAATTTGCTAGAATTGTGTCACAGAGATCACCAAACTGGGTACTATTGGCAGCAGATGGTAAGAGCTATCAACATCTATTAGCAATGAAACAAAAAATGGGGAATCACTCAAGAAGCTAATGCTTATGCCAGGGAACTGGTATACTTTGAAGAAATACACCAGGAGACACTAA